GAAGGGAGGGAGTGGGTGTGGGATGGCCATCACTATCAATGTCCCATGCATATCGACTGTCATTAAAAAGCAGTGGTAAAACGTGAGGAAATGATAGATTTTTTTTATATAGCTGGCTTTATATAGCTTCATTAGCTATTGTCCTTTCAAAAGTAACTGAATACCCTGCTACATATATCAGCCTACAGTAATCGTAATTCTATTTAAAACATATTAAAGGTGCAATGTGTAACAAAGTTGAGTATCTATTAACAGAAATGCAATATGACATCCATAACTATGTTTTCAGTGGTGTATAAAGAACTTACTTAATTAACCGTAATGTTTTTATTACCTTAGAATGAGACATTAATAGCTCCATAACCGCGGGAATCCCCTTCTATGAAGGTCGCCATGTTGTGACGTCATATTCCTACCGTAGCCGAACGCGAACACACAGTGCTACAGAACGCGTTTCATCACTACCTTGAAAGAGAAGTAGCGGAAAGCTAGCCTTACACTCCGTGAGTAGTGACTTTTCCCTTGTGAGTGGTGTAAAATATGTAGTTGGGATTGTTTCATGTAACTTAGTTCTCCCTCGCTGTGTTATGGGTTTGTTATGTTGGGGATAGTGCTGTTACGTTCGTGAGACAGCTGATGATTAGTATTCATGTCATTGACCGTAAAACAGTACGTTACAGGAATCACTAACCCGTCGATAGAGACTTTTACTAAAGTCTTTTATCACTAAAGTCGATCGCGAAGATTTTTCAAAATCAGAGAAAAAAAGCCTATTGTGTGTAGTAAATAGTATCTATGGGATGCGGAGATGACATGATTGTAACAGCGCGCGCACTTCCGACCTTTGGACTCATGCGGACGAGTCCCAGCTCAGCCACAGTAACAGCTCATATTAGCCAGCTAAACTATTACTACCCTGTTAGAAAAAATATATAGCTGCTCCCTCGCTGTATTATGGGTTTGCTACAGTATGTGGGGATAAATGTGCTGCTGGTTACGTTTGTGAGACAATCAGCTGATTAATATTATTTTATTGAATTATATATTAAAACCCTTGATCCTCACCTGACTATGGCTTTGTAAACAGTATTCATGATGTGGTTTATAATGGACTGTGGTACAGAAACAGTGACAATGTTACACACTCTTGGCTTACTCTGGCTATTCTCTGCTGTCTCAGCCGACGAGATGTTTGTCCCGTTTTAGCAACCGTAGCTTCTTCGAAAGGGAGGGGTGAGCAGTGGGCTGAGCCTTTAGTGCAAACCTGGTGCAAACTCGCAACCGAACCACTAGATGTCGCTAAAAATCACACATTGCTCCTTTAATGTAGGCTACATGCTTGTCTTTATAAAATATATAGTGGTTTATATAGACACTATAAATGCATTTGAAAATTAATTTTCCACTTAAATCCACTTTCCACTGTGCTTAGCCTATAGATCTACGTGCCCCCTGAACCTCCATAATATAGATGGCTCTGCGGAGGTGGATGACATCTCATTTTAAACACACACATACACGCACACCTCTGAAGGGATAGAAAAGTCCTCGGGATACCACATCACACGCAAGACGCAACTTGGATTAGTTGTCAACAAGGCGAAGTCCACCAGCACACACTATAATTTAGATGTGTCTGTGGTTGATGGCAAACCCACCGTCCAGAGCCTAGCCCTGGCAGCATCGCGGGGAACATATGCACATTTGCATCAACGCACTTGGACTTTGCACAATGAAAACAAACACTTGCGTCCCATGATTGCCTCTCTCATCTTCTACGTGATATCACAGTTTGACATGTCTGTCATTGGAAAGATCCACGTGGTGTCATGAATAATTAAGAGACCGTGTTTTCTCATAGGATAAGAAAACTCAGTATCATTAATAAGTATGAGACACATATATTAGTCATCAACGCACTTGGGTGAAATTTAACCATTTTAACCCTACTGTTAAATCTAACAGATGCCAACATTGTCTTCAATGGTGTTCAACACACATACCTCTGTTAAAATCTCAGAAAATTTGGTTTGGGGTTTCATGACCCTTTAAATAAAAGCACTACAAATGTATCATAAAATTACATTAGTGATCCTGTACTAATAAAAATAATGAAAACACTCTGTGCTCCGGTCCTGCTCCTTGGTCCGAGCTAGTCCTCCTGGGTTTCACAGAAATATTAAAAACGTTCTCATTTTGAGTTCCTTTCAAAGCTTTGAGCATTATGCAGATGTAATCAAAAGGTATTATTTTTCTATTGTTGCATCAAACATTAATTTAGTTTTAAACCTCTTTTGAGCATCTTGATCTTCTTTGCGTTAAAGTAGACACTGCCAGGGGCTGTACACCTCCACTGGGGCTCGGGCACGTTACCAACTCCTGGTCCTCCAGCTGCTGTCTGCTGACTTTGGTAATCGCGTATGTATCTAAAAAACGCTCGAGCAGATTTATGCATTCAATTTGAACTTCTTAAATGGAGAATCCCACGTACCCTAGAGCAGTTTTCCTCTGGGCCGAGCATTTGACTTTATCTGTACCTTTTATCTGTTGCTGAGAACTCCGAATCGGCATCGGGGAGTGATATGCGGTTAAGGAGAGAGAGAGAACTCGAGCATCAATCCCTAAAGTAATTATCTCAGCTCCTCCTCATTCCAAAAGGCTAAATATAAGTGAAGTTTTTAGCTCCCAGTGGCAGTCATGTTGCCTTTGATAAACGGTGCGACGATAAAATGTGGGTGCGAAAGCCAGTATGTGTGTTTTAGTGTATTCTGCGTTCACACAGCCTGGCTTGGAGTATAAATTCTCCTGCGCACAGTCCGTCTTTCTGCCACGAACAGTCGCTCGCACGCACACACAAAAGCAGATACAGATAGGCGGGCGAGTGTGGTTGTGCTAGATTGAAATTGTCAGAGGTGTCACATTAAATGTGCTATTATTAAGTCCAGGCTGAATTTTATGGGCTTGCAGGATCGTAAATTGGTTGGTCAGTCCTTTAAATTACGTATCCATCGAGCGATGTGTTCTATCTGCCCTCACTTTTCTCCTGCTTTACTTTCTCTTCCTTGCTCTCTCTCTTTCTCCCCTCCCTTTTACCACGTACAAATACAAGAGCTTGATCTTGACTTTTTGGCCCTGGTTGAAATGGATGGCGTGAGTGTGACGGGACGAGAGGAGAGCGGGATGCTGAGAGAGTAGCTGACATCCGAGTTCAGAGAGGCTTTAGAGGTCACTGTGGCCCCTGGCCAAAGTCATGACCCTCCTAAGGGAATAACAAGAGAGCCTGTCTCAGTTTATCGATCAGGGGAAACTTACAAGGAGCTTTAGTACCACTTAAAAGTTGAGAAGTCTAAAAAAACTGGACATTTCTAAATTGCCTTTGAATGTTTTTGTTGAGGAAAAATCTGCACTTGCAGTTGTGTATCAGAAAATCAATGTACAATGCAGAATTACGTGATACCATGGATACCATCTTTTATTGGACATTACCTTTCACGTAGTGTGTAATATAACTGTTTGAAGCACTGCAGACGTTTTACATACGCAAAGATCAAAGTGCACTGCCTTAAATGTGTCATCAGTAATTCCAGTCTTACTTCCTGCATGAACGTACAAAGTTTTGTAACAAATTTGCATAATGCCAGCCTATGGTCTTCATTGGCTGCCCATGAACAATGTCTACTTTGACCCTCCCTCTAACATTGTAGTTGTAGCTGAGGCCTTAAAAGAGTTTGGTTTGTGTTGTTGAAATGTTGAAAATACCAACAAAAAAAAAAGTAAAAAAAAAATGTTGAAAATACGCTGTTTTCTTCACTGTGAAAGCAATTCCACTTTGCCTGCACTTTCAAAGAATGAGGTTTTGTACTTGGGCTTAAATTGATATGGTAAAACTGACAGCATCCGTACTGTTCATATCACACAAGTGCTGAAGAAGCCTCCGGATCTGAAATTCAGAAATGGTAATGGTTATTTAGTTTCCCACATGTGTTGTAAGTGTTAGACCAGTCACAACAGATGGGGCGAACAGTTTCAGACACTGGGAGAACAGACATGATGCTGCAATGTATATAATAAGAAAATGTACCTGGATTTTGAGCTTGGGATTAGGTTAGGAACCTTTAAAATAGCATTATAGGCCGGGCATCTTTATAGCCCAATATTTGACTTATACTGACCTTGTCCCTCATCTCTTGATCAGATGTATTGATGACACTTAATTAAAACACACTCTGGGTGAATGGGTTAAGCTGATAGGCAGAGGCTGACAAGGGATGGATCAATAACACAGATCAGAGAAATTAAGATCTCAGGCTCTCAAAGGAGAGATAAAGACTGTGTTTAACAAATTAACATGAACTGAGGTAAAAAAATCATTAAATTATAAGCACATTTCTCTCCTTTGAGAACTGGCTAGCAGAGCACAGTCAGTAAAATGAGGGCTACTCACCATAAGCCAAAAATAAACAGACTTTCCTGATCCAGGTACGGCACTTGATTATTGCACTTGACTAATAAACAATAATAATAAACATTTATTTGTATAGCACTTTTCATACATGGAATGCAATAAGTGCTTCACAAGCAAATAATACAATTTCTTACAATGAAACTGGAAATTAGCAAAACAGTTTGACCTCAATATCAATGTAAAATTATAAAATAAAACATATATAGAGAGAGAGAGAGAGAGAGAGAGAGAGAGAGAGAGAGAGAGAGAGAGAGAGAGAGAGAGAACCATGAGATTTATGGGTAGGTCTAAAAAAAAAAAACCTTCTGCCCTTTCACTTTTTAATAGTGGGAAATATAAGATGCATGAAGGGGATGCACTTTTTATGTATCTAATGCGTTTTCTTTTTATACAAAATATTTTTATATAACTTATCATATACATTTTTTTCTCCCCTTAAACTAATTATTTAGTCTTTAGACTTTTAATCAGTTATTGAATTATTTGGAATTAAAAATCATATTTTAGTAAATGATGAGCTGCTTTCTTTTTCCAGATGGCCACAGAGGTGTTGGAGGATCTTCTAGAGGAGGATGACGAGGTTGTGGAGGTGTGTGTGTTTTTTTAATCTTTTCAAAATGTTACTGATTTCACAACTTGACCAATTATAAAGAGTTTGATTAACCTAATTAAAACGCATCAAACTGAAATGATGGAATGAACTGGAATGAAATGTTAAATAAATGACTTGTAACTTATATTTATTTCCAGTTGTTGTGGTGTGGTTGTGTATTATCAGGCCCATCCTACAGGCTCCACCTGGTCGGGTATTTGACACCAGCATTTGATGCATTGCTCACTGTCTCAGACAGCTGGATTCATAATTTATGGCATTATATCCTGCTGAAATAGTGGTTTGTTTGTGTGAAAATGCTTTGGTCTTCACTTTATTTTATTAGCCAGAGAAATTACGCACACAATGCAAGGGTGGCTAAAACTGATATACTTATACATTGCTATTTGATGGACCTGCATATAGCACATTTTTCTTCCTCAACCCAATGCCACAAAGCATAGTGATGCCACACAATACATAAACAAGCATTATTAAACTCGAAGGCATTCAGAGATTTTTTTCAGACTTGATTAAAAATAGCTTATATAGTACAAACCTCCTGATGTTGATGCATAATTAATGAGCCAAACTGAAGCCAATAACAAATGAATATGAAACTTACTGTAGTGTGACTTTCAGAGATTTTTCTTATTTTTAAGATTTTTTTTTTCATCACCTAGTCCTACTGGCTATATAAAAAAGGAGTCCTTTGATATGTCAGAATCGGGACTGGAACGTTAAATTCCTTTGATTGCCATCTCTATACTCTCTGAAGAGTCGGGACTGAGGTTTACCGGTCCACTCCCACACACACACACACACGTAAACACACACACACCCACACACTCTTTCTCTCTAATAGATATCTGACAGATTGAGAGCGCTTACAGAGTGTTTTGAACATTCGGCTCAGGAGAGTCATAGAGTGTGAAAGAGGAGGAGACAGAGAGAGTGGGAGTGAGAGATGTTTGAACTCTCTGTGGTGTGTTATTGAGACATCAGAGAAGGGTATAGAGTGTAACAGTAGGTGATAAAGTGAAGAGCACTTCAACACAGCACAACAAAAACATGCACACACTCTTCCCCACAGCCCATTTGCGTCTGACTTCCCTTAGTTCAATGCTCTCATTTTTCAGGATACAAACAAAGCTGCCCGATTGTTTGTTTCTTCCTCTCTGTTTGCTGCAAAATAAGGTTATTTTAATCCTGCCTGAAATCAAATATTTATAGCAATGACAGAGTGCACAGGAAGTGCTTTAGGTTTGTTTTGTTAATTACAAGTGGCTGGCTGACTGACTGTCTCATGTTTTTGCAGCCTACTTTTAGATCTATTTACTGTAGGCAAGAGTGGGGTAATTTGTGCCAGATTTTACACAATTAATGCAAGAGGCCAGTACTTCCAAACCCTGATCCTGGAGTGACTCCAACACTGCTAATTTGGAAACATTGGGAAGTATAGCAGTAATTTACAATTCAAATAAAAATATGAATACAACTGAGAAAGAAAAACAACATACTAATGAATAATCCCATTCCATTTCTAATCCATGTGTAACACTTGTATAGAATCCCAATCCCAGTTTGCTGCACATTATTACCATTTTGTAGCCCTCAAACCATATTCACTTTATTGCCCTTAATCTTGCAATTGTGGACAAATGTGGGCACAGAGGACTTAGGTGTGTTCCTAATTTTTTATCTATTATAAATGTTATATCACTGTCTTCGATAAAGTTTTGTCTATCCATTTATGGTGGGTTTTTTATTTTTTATTTTGCGGGTATTTTTGAATTTATTTACTTCAAAAAGTACCATATTTTCTATGTAAATTATTTCTATGTAAATTAATTACCATGTAGTTTTATTTATTTTTTTATTTTTTTAACTACATTAAAATATTATTCTAATAAGTTCTTAGAGTTAAAACCTATAGATGAAGTGACTTTGCTGTCACCTGGTGTCTTATTTTGGCTCATTTTAGAATGTTCTAAATTACAGTTTTTCCCATTCATTTCTATGGGTGCTCCTTTTTGACCCAAATACAAGATTAATGAGTTTTGGGTTTTTTTTCACCCACTTAATATTGTAGAATTGAGTCAAAAAATTGTGTGTGTTCAGGAGGCAAACTTAGGAAAAGTAGCCAAGTCATGTACGGCTCAGATCAAGGGACGTATTTTTAAAAAATAAATCAAAACTATTTTGCCCACATTTGTCCAGAATACGGTTTTAGGGTTAAACCAGCCACAAAAAGTTTGTAATAATCAGAATATTTTATGTAGTACAAAAATAGACAGTATTTTGTAATAGTAATAATATTTCTGCTAGTATTCACTGCATTTGAAGGCAAAGCTTTTACTATTTGAACCACAAGCACAGTTTACCCCAAAACATCTGACATGCTGCAAAATATATATATATTTTCTCTTCCTTTTCTTCTCAGGTGTGGTATTTGTTGGGATGGCTGTTTTATTTGCAGCTGGATAAACAAGACCTGACAAACAACAGTGTGAACTTCAGAAAGTCAGCCTGGACGTACCTTAGCAAGGCCAAAAAGGTAGAGCTCGCACCCTGCTCTTTTGGAAATGATGATTAGACCATCTGATTTCATCATAGCATAGTTTTCATTCTCCCCCACATACTGTACAGTACACACACACATTTTCTACCTGGCTGATTCCTCCACTCCTCCCTCGGTCCCTTCTCATTTATTCCATCTGTCATAGCTCTCTCAGCATGCCGTCAGCTCTTTTTCTACTGTGAAATTTCTCGAACTCTGCTGGTGTCCGAGCACTATAGAAATGGAAATGAAAGCCAGAGTTTGAAATAAAATAAGGGAGAGAATAGCTTGCAGGTTGAGGTATGACAATATGTATAGCTCTTTTTTTTCTACCAACCCCTGTGCTTTTCTTCTTTTTCGTTTCTTTCTCCTCCTCAGGCTTTTCATTGTTACTTGACTTTGGTTCTCTCTGAGGAAACCTTTGGTCACTGCATGTTGTCTTTTTTTGTTTTTCTGTCTCTGCATTTCTTGTTTTTTATAGATTCGTTGTCATCTGTCCTTCATTCCCTCTGCTTCACCTTGTAGCCTCTCATTTTCTTCTGGAGAGGAAAATACATGGCTTACTATGTCCTTGATGAACTAGTGAGCTGAATAGGGAAGGCCCGGCACACACCTGCTGTCTCACATATAGCTGTAGATCCATATGTCTCTCCTTGAGACTCTGAAGTTCAGACTTTCATTACTTAGTTATTGCAGAATGCACTATTGATGGGTAGTTATGGATAGCCAATAGGAAAGCAGGAGAAATGTATTTCAGGACTCGGTAACACTTTACAATAAGGTTCATTAGTTAACTACATTAGTTAACATTAACTAAGAATGAACAATATTTCTACAGCATTTGTTAATCTGTGTTATTGTTAATTTCAACATTTACTAATACTTAAAATCTTGTTAACAAACATGAACAAACAATGAACAGCTGGATTTGTATTAACTAACGTTAACAAAGATTAACAAAAACAGTAACAAATGTATTGCTCATGGTTAGTTCATGTTAGTTAATACATTAACTAATGTTTAATAAATGAACTTTTTTGTAAAGTGTTACCAGGACTCTTATCGATCCTAATGGCTTTTCAAAGTCCCAGACATGTAATCTTTCAAATTAAAACAGCCAGATAAGACATAATACAAACTCCCTCTCTCAGCACCTAACACTTCATGTAAAAATATTTATTATGCATGTCCATATTTATTATGTATTTCTTTGTCCTATGGGATAAGATGGCATGGTTTTTAATGACATGGTCTTTAATACTATGGCTTTGATTTTTTTTTTTATTTATATATAAAATGTAGGTTGTGTTTTATATCAACGTTTGAAAGTAAAAATATAATAATCCAATTAATAATGAGCCCATGCTATTTTATTTGAGAGTCGTTTAATAGTTTATCTCTCCAACCACTTAATCCTGAATTACTTTACAGGAGTTTGTCTACTGTTTAAATCTGTGAAGAAACATCTCTGCTGTGCTGCTCTATACATTTTTTAAAAGGGAATTTGAGAGCAGAAATTGGCTCATGATCACAAAATATGTAAATAAGACCTGAAAGTCACACTCTTGGCTTTGGTTCAGACTTGTGAATATTTAATTACATTCGCTAACGCCTCAATTATTCATCTGCTCTTTAATCAGTGCCCCATATCGCCAAGCTTTTGTTAGCTGTGTCATTAATATGGCCGTAATAAAGCAAACAGTAATTATTTATTAATTAGCCTTTTAGAAGGTCATCTCTCTGCGCTATGAAATACACTGCCAGTTATGACTGAGCTAGACTAATGTTGCTAGTATAATGCTTAGTATTGGCAATTTGGCAGCAATAACCTTTCAACTTATTAGTAATAGAATTGCCTGAACTGTTGATTAAATCTGGTGATCATTTAAATGTTCCATCCTTTAGGAACAAAATATTTCAGTAGCATCACAGAGAGTCTTGTTTTGTCCACCATTACTTTGCTAAACCTACTGTATTAAAACAGAAATACACTTCCATCTTCGGTAGAACACAAAAGAAGACGTGAAAAAAAATAATAATAAATATATATATATATATATATATATATATATGAAGAGTTCAGATGCAAAAGCCTCTAAATGCCATTTGAAATTTTCTTCTTTAATGATGATTTTTATCAAACTTGTATATTTAAGTTCAGTAATTTCACTTAAATAACAATTAATAGGTAATTATCATTGCCATTTAATTGAAATTACTGAACTGAAATATACAAGTTTGATAAAATCATCATTAAAGAAGAAAATTTCAAATGGCATTTAGAGGCTTTTGCATCTGAACTCTTCATATATATATATATATATATATATATATACACAGTATATACATATATGGTCCATGCAGTGGGTGTCAGAGGGGTCCAATGTTAGTTTGAAGTTTGAACATGAACTTTTATTGAAAGGACAATAGTAGTTGAAACATCTTAAAAATATATTTAAGGAACGTCAAGAAAGCAGGTATATAATGTTGTCATATTCAGACAGAACTTGTTTTCCAAACATAATTTGAGTTACAATTCTTATCACCCAACGTCTGTGATTTCATGTACCAATTCGGACAGGACTAACACCTCTGTGTTCATTACTGAGGTGGAAGTGTGTGTTTTCTAGATGTGGGCATTTTTTACGTTTATAGAAGTGGCTGTTTGTAATAAACCCACATAAATGAGTATAGACATCTAGACAAGTATTATCTGCATGACACTAATATTAAAATCTTTAAATATTATGTTTGTATATATAATATATATATATATATATATATATATATATATAATATTATGTATTATGTTATGTATTATGTTTCCTATTGATATAAATGTTTCCACGATTTGGCTCTATTTTTTAATTTTGTACTTGTATTTTTTTGTCGGATTCTATCCATGTTGAAGTGAATGCATGTGGAAGATTGGTGCATAAACTGTAGCTCAGGTAGATCAAGAAACATGAGGAGAAGCTGTTGGATAATATAACACTAGAAATCACAGACATTCGCATTTGTGCGGGATTAGATTCTCAGAAGACTGTTAAGTTTGCAGGAAAACAGTAAGTCATTTGCTCTGTAATTTTTACTGAGGTAGTGTGAGAAAAACACAGACATGGCAGATACTGACGAGATTAAAATCGCAAAGTACCCCTGTGAGAAATGAATTTCTCTAATGTTCTCTAATGGCTAATTTATTCTGAAAGATATAGTTGTTAGCTGTTGCTCAAGTGCTGTGGATTTCAGCTCTATAAAGTATTTCCATATATTTTTAAATCTTCAGTTTCATGCTTCAGTTGTGAAATTGATGGCTCTTGAGTTAATCTCTTGATTACAGTCTCGATTTTTCTCCTGAATCGATTGATTTCCCAGGGTCCTCTGATTTTAATTAGCTTGTGGCTACTCTGCCTCTTGCAGATTTGTTTTCTGTGTGAATGCGTTGCGTTCATATTGCTGTTTTCTACCTTCACCCTTCCTGTCTTCCACTATCCGCTCGTTCTTCTGTCATGACTTCAGGCAGGGTTCAGATTCCACTTTAGCCGCTATTCACCATTGATTTTCTGCCTTCTGCTCAATGTCCAGCTCTTTACACGTCCATCCCTTAGCACTCACCTCCCCTCCCCAACCATACCTCACTACCTCTCTTTCTTTCTCTTGTGTCATTCCTCACTACCTCTTTTTAATCCCTCTATTCCTTGCTAACCCACTTTTCTATCTCTTTTCTGTCTCTACCTGCAATTATCATCTGCCTCGCTGATTCAATCGCAAGTGGTCAGCTGAGATCTATTGCTGCTTATTCCTGGTGTTAAAGGATTACCTCACCCAAAATTGAATAGTAGCTCTATATAAAGATGTTTGTAATAAAAACTTACTTTTATTCAGAGATTCCCAAAACTACGTTTTGTAAAGAATTTGATTTGTTTGGAATGTTGATGTGAAGTATCAGTATTTTCAATAATTTTACTACAGTCAAACCTGAACACAGAGATATTTTGATGCATGCAACTTCAAAATCCATTTCTAATTACCTCAATGTAATTTAGTCAAATCATATTTTTATTCTTCAGTATTTTTCTCCGTCTTTCCATATGTCAGTACTACTTATTTCTCTCCATCAGCTCTCTCTTCCGCTCTTCATCCCTCAGTACATCTCTCTTTATTCTTCATTACCATCCCTTGTCCTGTATTGATCTGGGCAGTATTGATTGAGCTTTGAGTGCATGACCACATTTCCAGCCATTAATAATCTTACATATAACGATTTATCATGCTTACTATGCTATGATGCATAAATGGTTCAGCCTCTTGCTTTGTGAATAGACAGTCACACTTTATCGATCTTCGATTTCAGAGGAAAAAAAAAAGAAAGAAAAACTGAGAAGGTATTTCTTCAGCTTTTGCTCTGTGTGGAAATAATAGATCTCATGTGTGTCACAATGTTACTTCAGCGTTAGTAAAGCATCTTGTTCAGCCATGGGTGCAAAATGACCCGTTTTGAGCATCTCATTGCTCTGTCTGTAACTTACCATTGCAGCTCTTGAAATCGCCTCTAGCAAGACCCATGAAAAGCACATTCACACAGTGAATCACACAACACATATAAAGCAGACGTTTTGACCATATGTATATACAAAATAACTTTATGACATTCAGCAGCAAACCACTGTTTGTGTGAATATAGCTTAAATACAGTAAGTGTTGTGTATTTGTGTGTCAGTGTGTCTTCCTTAAAAAGCCTGGACCTCTTCCATCCACTAGGTTCAAGATCGTTTTTTAGAACTCTCCAATCCAATTTGGTCTTGTCAATTATCTTTTATAAACAAGGTTTAGAAAGCAGGTGGAATTGTAAACCACTAGCCAGTGTTGTAGTCGAGACCACCTCACGCGAGTCCGAGTCGAGACCGAGACCAGAGAGAGTCGAGTCCGAGTCAAGACCGAGTCCATAGAGAGTCGAGTCCGAGACCGTAAAATTTTTTTACTGAATTTACTTAGAG